TTCTCTGGCTTATCTTCTGTTGTGGCCATGATTTAACCATGTGAAACCCAAGATTGCTCTGTGCTCTAAGCTAGTCAGCATGTTGCCCATCATTTTGTAGACATGAAGGAGTCCAAATAATTTGGTGGGTTTCCCTGCTGCTTTTCCACTTCCCTTGTCCTTTTCAGTCCCAGAACACTGTGTCTTTGTGCAATCTACAAACTGAGAAGCTTATAAGGATTAAGATTTCTGACATGCTCACATCACTCAAACGTGTTTGTGAGGCTTTTGGTATATCTATTGAAGCATGCTCTTTTCCTGTTCCCTTAGTGAGAAGTCGTCATCACTCAGTACCCACGTTCTGAGTAGTTTTAGCTAAGCCTTACCTGCTACATATTTTTGCTGAATGCTTTGATGAATTGTATGAATACTGTGTAAAATGTGACTTTTACTACAATATGAACTTAACAGACCTTCTTTTGCAGTTAGAGAGAGAAGAATGACGACTACTAAGAGGCCTTGTGTTTCTTCCTCTCATTGTATGACATAAGGTCAAAAGTGCAAATTCATATGTTTGTATCCCACTCTGCAGAATGGCTTGGTATTTTACAGCTAATAACTCGAGTGGTAACATTTTTGTTGTTAGTTTCAATCCCACCTAAATTGCTTGTTTTCCTCTTAATCTTGTTTTTCCCTACTATTATTCCACGTGAAGCTATATATTATATTCTTTCCTCTTGACAATGTTACATGCATGAAGCTTGTACTCCTATTTTTAAACACCTTCATAATTTGTAGCTTTTTCTGGAATTAATATATTCTTAAACAATAGTTGGTGTACCAGCCAAATATCTTAAAAGCAACAAGGCATACAAAATAAATAAAAAAAGTCATAAAACAAAATGACAGTCTATTTACAACAGCAAGGTTATTTGATTTCATAGTATATTAAAAACTCTGTTGCTGCATCTAAGATTAAGTGTGGAAAATCCCTTTTGGCTCAGAATACTTACGACACTAATACTTACCCAAGATCTCTTTTAAATTCAATACTCACTTCTCTTCTACCTCAAATGAAGACAGTTGATTGCTGAATCAACAGGACACACTTGGGTAGACAGAAGGTATATCAGGTTGGTATCCTTATCCCTTATACGAAATTGTGTTGCTTCTGTCAGGAAATGTAACAGCAGCACACTTACTAGAGATCAAGGCTTTATTTAGCCTTATATAGTGCTTATAAAGCCCTTATAAAGGTATTTAGCCTTTATAGTGCTTATAAAGTACTAACAATTACATGGCAGAAGGTAAGAGACATCTTCATTTTTAAGCACTTAACTATAAGATGAGTACAAATGGATGGACTGAATACCTGACTGGAGGAGAGTGTTACATAACAGAATGGAAAAAAAAAAAAAAAAAAGTATGTAATTATTTCTGTATGTAGGTGTTACTGATCTTTTAAAAAACATCTATTACCTATGTAGCCACAATACTGTTTAAACCATTTAACTAAGACAATTTTTGTGGAGAGAATGACTAGTTATTAGACTAACTATACATAGTTGAGAAGAGTTTTTTAAGTTTTATACCATCATAAGCACTTTTGCTAGATCTCAGCAGATAAAACTGCATATATTAAAAAATAAGTCTCTCTTCCATTAGGTAAGCATAATGGCATTACCAAAACTAGGCCCCGTCCAAGGAACAAATAGAACAAAGGAAAACAAGCTGCAGGTCATTGAGAATGACGTTGTGTAGAGCATACCTGAGCTTTAGACTCTTTACATGGCACGCGGCTGGTGTGTCCTTTGCGATTCCTACATCTTCCGCACTGCCAAGGCTTCATTCTCTGTCTTCCTCTAGGTTTGTTCAGTCCCCGCATTGGGCTCCCACCTTCACACAAGTAATTAAACTCCAAATTACCCCTAGGGTAGGGGCTTGAACCTACCTTTTAAACATCCTGAAGAAACTGGATAGTGGGAATGGTCCCCACCACTTCATCCTACCACTACACACTGTGGAAAAAGGAACCTATTCCCTGGGAGAACTCAGAGCTGTGAATGAGATTCAGAAGCTAATTCTTTTTATGACCTACAGCAAGCCACGATTGTCCTGGATTTACGATTGCTCTCTTTTCCACCTCTCTCACTGAAGAGCCTTGCAGCTCTCTGCTCAGGATGCTGGTGTTTGCGGATCTTGCTCCTAGACATTCCAACATGCTATTCAGGGAATCAAGGTGCCTAATGTGGCATTTGGATCCCACTAGTAACTGAAAGGCTGCCCAGTGTATAAATCATCGGCATTAGGCACTGGCACTGTACATTTCTTAGCTCTGTGCCTATGGATGTAGTTTCTGAAATCTATGCCTACATTATGTGTGACCAAGACTATCAGTGTTTTTTTAAGTTTGCAATATCCACTTAACATTCAATTAAATGAGCCATTTTGAGTCTGAGGAAAGTTTAAGCACAAGACTCGTTCTAGAAGGAGTTAAAAAAAAAAAAAAAAAAAAAAAAAGCTTTGGAAAGTTTCATAAGCAACAGCTCCCTCTTGTGAATCAAAAAAACAGCAGCTGAAAAAGAAAAATCTTGCCTGCATCCATCTTAACAAGGGCATGCAAAACACAAGACTGACAGTGCCTTGCTGAGTTAACAATTTAGCTCTTCTGTAGGGATGCCTGGTCATTTTTAGTGGAAGCATATTTGTGCAATGTAAAAAAGTGGAACTTTTCCAAGCATCTTATTTGCCTTTAAATGAAAAGAACATGGGAAAATGCCTTTTTTAAACAAAACATTCTAACTCATTTGATGGTTTTTACTTACAAATGTATTTTAAAAAATAAATATTGAAATTAAAAATACTATGTTCTCGTGATTTGTGATTCTAGAACAGTGCATATGGGGTGTTAGAGCAGCTACCAGTGATCACAATTTTTCCAGTAAACACTTTACTTTTGATTTGTTATTGGCTTAGGCCTTGCATGTGCCAGAGCTCTGTACCTCTTCCTAGGTGATATTGTGACATGGGAAAATACAGCAAATGATTAGCTTCATGGTTACCTATTTTTTATCAAAATATTCACTTAAATTTGGTTTTTGTTTCCTTTTTTAAAAAAATCAACCATTGTAAGTATAGACAGTAGTGCACTGGCTTTTTAGACATAAATTCATTTCTTGTTCACTGCAGTTTTGAAAACATGGGAACAGAGGTTAAAAAAATCACTGAACCTTAAAAGAAAGGATAAACTCAAGTGGTTTTAAGGTCTGGTGATTTTTTCCTCCACAGCATGACTTAGCATAAATCACATAGAGCTGAAACTGTGTGATTAGTAAATACACTTGACTGCCCTTTGAGTGTTTTACAGGTGCCAAAGTTGTTCAGGGACAGTTCTTCAAGTATGAAGGACAGTGAAAATGAAGACAACCTTGTATTATCTCCTGAACTGCTTATTCCAGTCTTTTTTATCTAACAAAAACTGACCAATGTACTGGCAAATAAGTAAGAACTGACATGAGCTACATGTTGATGTCCAAGCAGCCCAAGCCCGAAGATTTTTGAAGCTGAGGTACTTGAAATGGTGTGAGGTTTTAAAGCTGAGGTACTTAAAACCATGTAAGGAAAGAATCTGAGCAGAGCAGCAGGAAAAATACCTTCTAGTAGAACATGCTAATGTATATGGAATGTACTTTAAGTGACAGTTAAGTAAGTGACGGACTGGAATTTTAATATGCAATCAGATTTCTAGAAAGGTATGATGTTTGTACAGACTAAAGAATCCTGTGGAAATATCTATGAAAATCTTCAGTAGAGAGTGTTGCACTTTGAAAGGACTGTAAAGGTAGCAACATTTTTTTCTGTTTTACTACTCAGCTAAAAAGAAATATCTCAGTGAAAAGACCTAATTTTTATCTGTTTGTAATTACATTGATTAGAAGAGTCTCAAATAATGGCAAAATCTGATCTCTGCTAACCATCTCAGGAGAAAACATTTGATTTTTTTCTCAGCTTCTATGCAGAGGAAATACTGCATAGAGGAAATCTGATTCTCCGCTGCTTTGCAGTTTTCTTCAGTCCTTTTGCTGCAGCATCCATGCATGTCCATGAAAAAACGTGTTGCTTGTAGCACCGTGGACCATTAGCATTCCTGGGAAAAGCAATTTTCAATTAATGCCTGTTTGCTGTTTGACAGAACTATTCACAGATGGAAAGTGACAATATATACTTAAAAACTGAAGTCAAACTAACTGCATTTTTTTCTTGATTTTGAGAACTATGTTCTAACTTTAGCCATAAGGAAAAAAAAAAATCTGGGTATGCACAAATGCTTCACATAGGTTGGAATTCACACATTATTCCTCTTGCAAATATGCTGCTGGAGAAAAAAAAAAAGAAAAAAAAAAAGGAAAAAAGAAAAAAAAAAGGAAAAAAAAGGAAAAAAAGAAAAAAAGGAAAAGAAAAGAAAAAAAAAAGAAAAGGAAAAAACCCCATTCTGCCACGGAAGACCTATACAGAATAACACACGATACCCAGTCGCACTCTAACGAGGCCCTTCCCGCAGCTCTCCCGCGGCTGAGCCTGCCGGGCCCTGCGGCAGCACCGCGCCGCTCGCCGGGCCCCGCCCCCGCCGGGCCCGGGCCCCGCCCCCGCCGGGCCCGGGCCCCGCCCCCGGCCGCGCACGCGCGCTGGGCACTGCCGACCCGCGCTGGCGGCGGCCGCTCCCCGGCGGCAGAGGAGGGGGGAGCGGTACTGCCATTGGCGCCGAGCGCTTCCACGTGACGACATTGAACCCGCCCCCCCACCGACCCGCCGGGGGCGCCGCGCGCCATGGCAACCGTTGCCAGGCAGCGGCGGGGCCAGGCCCCTGCACGCGGCGCACCACGTCCGCAGCGGCGTGGGCGCTGCCCCGGAAGCGCTTCCCGGCGGGCGGCGCGCGGCGCTCCGTGCGCTTCCGGCTGCGCGGCGCGCTCCGCTCTCCGCCCTCCGCCGCCGCTCCCGCCGCCCGCCGCCCCCCCCCGCCGATGGCGCTGTGCGCGCGCCGGGCGCTGTGCGCGCTCTGGCTGTGGGCCTGCGCGGCGCGCGCCTCCGAGATCACCTTCGAGCTGCCCGACAACGCCAAGCAGTGCTTCTACGAGGAGGTGGCGCGCGGCACCAAGTGCACCCTCGAGTTCCAGGTGCCGCCGGCACGGCACGGGCACGGGCACGGGCACGGG